TTCGATTGGTTTTAATCTGTTCTATCTGTCTCAATTTATACGGATCTATCCTAATTAGTTTCAATTTGTTTCAATAGTTGATTTCTAAATCTATTCATCTGTTGGTTCTATGAGGAATGTCGTCGATGTGCACATATAAATCTATTAAAAACATTTCTTAATTAAGTGGAATATATAGTTAGGATTAGACTTTTAGTTTAAAATTTTTGTCGACTTTGTACGACCATACAGAGTCTACGGGGCAAGACGAACTGTTTAGAGTTGTTCTTCACAAAAGACTTCTCGTTTACTTGCCTCGTTGCTTGTCGTTCCCATCTCATCGAGTCGCTCGTCCATCGCGATCACCGTGTCACGTCTCCCGGTGTCCGAGTCACGTCTCGCATCGCCTTTGGCTTACTAGACTGTTATTGGACCGCACACGAGTTGCTGGAGGTGGTCTGGACTCACCATGGGTCACTTGGTGCATGAGGTTGCCGAGGCTTTCGCGGTCTATACGCGGATTGTCGAGACATAAAGTTGGCTGGACACTGGTTGTCGATATATTGCCCTGCGGGCTAGAATATTTATAATCTCATTGATATATTGTGTTCGAACATATGTGCAACTAATGTAGAGTATGTACTTTAATAATTTTTCATGCCTCGGAGGAAGGACATATAACCAAGATTTTAGAAAGTCAACTTTTATTTAGAGATGAAATTTGTTCACACCTAATGGATATAGAGAGAAATGCAGTATTTTATACAATGATAAAAAAAAAAGTATCAACAATTTTAATGTCAGGGCTATTTATTTCACAAAGATATCATGAACTATTAAATTAAAACACCTTGTAAAGATCATACAACCATTAAATTTAAATGTTGATTGAGACTGTAACATGTCATTTCATTTTTTTTTATACTAAGGCATCATTGTGTTATTTTTGAGGGAAAATACTTTGAGGGCTCATATGTTCTACCTTTTATTTCGTTTATGCAATAATTTATTTAATAAATTAATTAATTTATATTACTAACTTAACTGACAGAAAACATTCACCACTGCGTGCATCACACGTGCACTTTACTAGTTATATAAAAAGAAACAAAATGTGATTTTCAAAAATTAAAATACCAATAAGAATATTAAAAAGAATTAATTCATGGTCATTTAACAACCAGAAACCCCATGTAATCATATGCTTCTAATCATTAAATATAATCTAAAGTCGCATTCTAGACATGTGCAAGGTGTATGGAATAGGGTTGTAAACGAATCGAATCAAAGCGAATACTCAGAGATTCGATTCGAATTCGTTAAGATATTCGAAGATTCGAATTCGTATTCGATTCGTTAACGAACTCATTTTTTGATTCGTATTCGATTCGTTTAGAATATTCGAACATATTCGATTCGATTCGAAATTCGTTTTAAAAAAAATATATATTAAAAAAATATTATAATTAAAAAATAATTTTAATTTTGCATATATTTTTAGAAAAAATTGTTAATTTAGGATGTTTTTAAATTTCATGTCATAAAAATATTAAGAATATAACAATATATTCTCATATATAAACAAAATGTATACTATATATAATTTATAAAAATTTTATAATTATTTTTAACGAATCGAATATTCGAATTTCGAATCGAATATCTACAAATTCGAATTCGGATTCGTTTAACTTTTGAATATAAAACATTATTTGTATTCAATTTCGAATTCGAATATTTCAAATCGAATCACGAATATCGAATTCGAATCTCGAATCGAATCAAAAAAGTTTGATTTGTTTACAACCCTAGTATGGAATATGGATTTTGTACAGCGGCTCACAAATTATTTCTTAGTATTTGATATATACAGACGTAAATAAGTATTGTGAGTTATTTGTATGCATATAATAATTAATTATATTTTTTTTTTTTACTTTTTTGCAGGCCAAATTTATAAATAAAGAAGTTGAAATATGTTGGTATGACTTATATATTGACAAATAAAGGGGGCAGGCTGATGCCTGCGAGCGTAGCGAGGGAAGCGGGCCGAGCTGAGCAGAGCGAGCAGACATCAACCCCTGTTGGGCTGTGTCGATTAGTTGAGCGAGCAGACATCAACCCCTAGTCCTCGGTATAAATACATGGTGTATTGATGTATTGAGAATGATTCATAATAAAATATATCGCTCAGCCGCCGCGGACGTAGGCACATTGTCGAACCACGTAAATCTTGTGTTGTTTACTTTCTCGTTTTTAATTCGTATGTCATATTGTCATCTTCTCTCAACAAATTTTTTTTTTTTTTTTAAAATTGCGTTTATCTGATTGGATGTAATGTATATTTTTGTACATCTTTTTTATTTGAATTATTTATCATTTATTTAGGAATTTCAAATACATTTTTTATTTTAAAAAAAAAAATAATGTAAATGTAACCACAATAATAACGTCTAATCACATTATAGGATCAACACATTATATGGTCAACTGTCACTAATAAAAGTTTAAAATAATTTTTATAATTTTAAAGTGATTAGTATTGATTATTTAATAATTATTAAATAAAAGATTAAATACATAAAAATGTAACGGTTTTTGGAGGAAAAAGTGTTAAATTGCCACATAGATAAAATTAATTAGGTATTATTAAATGCTATGAGCTAGTAATTATATATATATATATATAGATTTGATATTTTTAGTAATTAGTTAATAAATATAGTTATTTATTTAATTCATAAAATTTGTGACAAATTTTCCCTTTTTTTCTCATCATTTATGGAATCTATATCTATCTATCTATATATATAATAAGAATAATCATTTACCAAATATAATAGAAAAAAATATGACAGAATTTAATGCAATCCATAATAGTAAGTTTCATATTTTTTTTTATTTTTATCTTTAAAAAATCATAGATCATTAAATATTGTCTTAAATTTTGGACTTTAATTTATTTACTAGTACAATGCCCGTGTATTACACGGGTCCATGCTAATTTTTTCCTTAAAATATAAAACTAATGAGAAAAATAGTTGAAAATTTAAATACTTTTATAAAAATATATATATATATATTATTATATATTTAGTATGAAACATTTTATTTGTGCGACTTACCTGTGTTATATTATAATAATTTTTTAACTTACATCATATAACTACATTAAAGATAAATATATCAATTGAAAAATAGTTTAATTTTCTAATGAATTTTAATAAATATTATTATTTTTTATTATTATATAGATAAATATAATTTAATTATTTCATATATACAATATGGATGTCAAATCAAACATCATCAAAAGATGATTAATTTGATATATTATATATCTAAAACTGATTAGAAATACAAAAGTTATCAACTTTTAAAATAAATTTACAATTCAATAGCTAATTGAAGGAAACAAATCAAAAGTCAGGGATATATTAATCACTTAGTGCATCAATATGTAAAATTACAAAGAATTAAAGGGTTATATTAGTACAAGTGATATTAAAATATCTAAGTTAGCTAAATAATATTTATGGAATGTCCTAACCTAGATTATTAATTATTAATATAATAATATTATTTGTCCAAACCTAATTACGAAGCATGATTTTTCATCAAAAAGGATTTCGAAGCACCAGAAGCAGCCACGTAAGCTCAGCGCATTCGGAAATTAGATATAGGAGAGATACTTGGTCCTTTGTTTTCTTTGAATTAGGTTAACCATTAAATTATACATGGTTTGAATATTTTATTTAATGTTAAT